GATTAAAAATACAATATTTGTTCACACTTTTAGCCTTTTTAGGCAACAGCTACCAAGAGGTATGTGCTGTTTCAATAGTGCAGTAGAACACCCTTCTCTAGACCAATGATGGTATCCGTCAAATCCTGGAGCTCTCCACTGGCCACGGTGGAAAAGCTCCATCTTGAGGTCTAATTTATATAGCATGCTGCAAGTAAATGGAGGTGGAACTAGCAATAAGAATAACAGAATCATAGAAATGCAGGGCAGGCAGGGGCCTCAAGAAGTCATCAAGTCCAGCCCCCTGCGAAGTGGCAGGACCAATTAAATCTAGACCATCCCTGACAGGTGTCTGTTTGGCCAATTCTTAAAAACCTCCAATTGTGGGGATTCTACCATCTCTCTTGGAAGCCTATTCCAGAGCTTAACTATCCTTACAGTTAGAAAGTTTTTCCTAATATCTAAACTAAATCAACCTTGCTGCAGATTAAGCCCATTACTTCTTGTCCTATCATAAGTGGACAAGGAGAACGATTGATCACTGTCCTCTTTTAACAGCCCTTCACATATTTGAAGACTGTTATCTGGTCCCCCCTCAGTCTTCTTTTCTCAAGACTAAACATGCCCATTTCCTCATAGGTCAGGTTTTCTAAACCTTTTACCATTTTTGTTGCTCTTCTCTGGACTCTCTCCAATTTGGTCACATCTTTCCTAATGAGTGGTGCCCAGAACTGGACACAGTACTCCAGCTGAGAACTCACCAGTGCTGACTAGAGCAGGACAGTTACCTCCAGTGGTTCGCTAGAACCGGTTGTTAAATTTAGAAGCCCTTTTAGAACTGGTTGTTCCACGAGGGACAACCGGTTCTAAAAGGGCTTCTAAATTTAACCAGCCAAAAGTGGCGCCTTAGGCACCGACTCCATGGGTACTCCAGGGCTGGAGCACCACGGGGAATATTTGGTGGGTGCAGAGCACCCACCGGCAGCTCCCCGCCCCACCCCTGGACCCAGCTCACCTCCGCTCCGCCTCCTCCCCTGAACGTGCCACCCCGCTCTGTTTCTCCGCCCCCCCAGGCTTCCCATGAATCAGCTGTCCGTGCGGGAAGCGAGGGCAGGCTGAGAAGTAGGCGGCAGCTTCACACTCAGGCCCAGGGAGGTGGAGGTGAGCTGGGGCAGGGGGGTGCGAGGAGGGCGGCCCACGCCACAGCAGGTAACCCGGGGGGAGGGGAGGGGCATGCGCAGGGGAACTGCTCCCTGCCCCAGCTCACCACCACCACCCTCGGCCTGAGCGGGAAGCCGCCGCCTGCTTCTCAGCCCTCCCAGGCTTCCCGCCGAACAGCTGATTCACGGGAAGCCGGGTGGGGGTGAGGGGGCGCAGAGAAGCAGAGCGAGGCAGTGTATTCAGGGGCGGAGGTGGAGCAGAGGTGAGGTGAGCTGGGGCCGGGTGCGGGGCAGGGAGCTGCCAGTGGGTGCTCTGCACCCACCAAATATTCCCTGTGGGTGCTCCAGCCCCAGAGCATTCACGGAGTCGGCACCTAAGGCATCACTTTTGATGTGATCGGTGGGGGGAGCGGCCACTCCCCCTGCTCCCCCCTAGCTATCCTCCCCCGCTCCTAGGAGCCAGAGGGACCTGCTGGATGCTTCCTGGGAGCTGCCCCAGGTAAGCACCGCCGGGACTCCCCACCTCGCTCCCCGGCAGGTCCCTCAGGCTCTTAGGGGTGTGGTGGGCACCCGCTACGGTGGCCCACGAGACCCTCCTGCCCTGTTCTGGGGGCTGTCAGGGAACAGGGGAGGAGGGTGGATGGGGCAGGGTCCCGGGGGGGGGGGGCGTCAAGGAACGCGGGGGGTTGCACTCTGTCAGTGATTGCACTCTGGAAGAGCATCTCTCAAAAGTGACTTGTCCTGTTGATTAAGGAGCTGTAGGGGAAAGTGTAGGGATCCTTAGGGTTCTAGCTGGGATATTGTGGGACACTGAAAGTAAATGCTGGATATCTTAGCAATAAACATACAGAAGCTAGTTTAACTAGTTCACTTTGCGTAATGTCTTCATAATGTCCTTGAATTCTGTTTCTCTTTTTCACTTATGCAAACATCCCCATTTATGGAACTAAGCATTTTTCACTCCCTGATGAGGGTTTTCAGCATAGAAGAGTTGTTGCTTTGCTATCAGGTGAAAGACTTCCTCTCTGTCAAATATGAAAATAATGAGCAGCTGGTTCTATGGTTGCTTTATGACCTGAAGGGCCTGGTAGGATTTTTGAACTATTATGCACGTCAAATGGCTTTCCTTGGGTTGTGCTTGTGGGTTCTACCACTACTTATATCTTATTGCACTGTAGGTACCTAGAGGACTACGTAAAATGGTCGGCACCTTGGCTGGCCAGCAAGAGCTACAGCAGAGCTTTGATGACGTGTATAACTGAACTGCAGAAACTTACCAGCAGAGGGAGTCTATAGAAATAATAAAACCTGTGCATGAAAATAAATGTATTTTATTGTATTGTTCATCTCTAGCGTATTAGAGATTAGGGGTTATATGTTCAAGTTTGACTAGTGGTTTTGGTTTTCTATCTTAAAGAGGCCTGACTTTCATAAAGTGCTAAGCAACTGCTCTCTGAAAAATCAAACCCTGTAAGGTGTCTCATGTTGCACAGTCAAGAACTGAAGCATCCCAGATCACCTTGAGAAAGATTTTAAAACGAAGGCGAACATAAGGAGAGCTGCCATATAGGAACAAATCAGAAATGCAGTATCCTGTCTGCAAGTGTGGCTAAGGCAGGGCATTTTCATCACAAGAAAGTGTAACCCACCCCACCCCCCAGGGTGCATGCTGCATTGTCCAGTACTACACCAAGCATGGAAGGGAATCGAGCCCACCTTGGTCCTGGCAGAAAGGTGGGAGCACTTAGTCAAGAAGCAGCTGAAAGAGGTAGGAAGCTGCTTTCATCTGCTATTTCCCCACAGGTCCTAGGGTGAGTTGAGCAAAATAACACTGCATGACACTTCAGAAGCCACCGATCATTACCAAGAAGCAGCAGTGTTTAATCTGATTACACAATCAAGACAGAATATTTGAGCCCCTATAAAACTTTAAAATTAAATCATGTGAATTTAATGCTCATAAAAAGATCTGGATTTCTAGACCTGGTGACTGAGATCCTTCCTTCGTGTAAAGAAAGGGCATAGTGCAGGTGTCTATGGGCCAAACTTCCCAACAAGGCCCTGCCAATGTATTCCAGCTGAATTGCCTCCTGCATCAAGCAGACATATCTGCAGAACACAACAAAAACCCAGTTCCAATTTAGGCAATATATTGTCTCAAATCATGTTTTCTTTATTAATCTTTTCCGTGATACACATTACGCAGTATATAGATAGTGTTTGTAACTGGAAATCACAGCTGGTTGCTGTCATGAATAATATGGGTGTTCCTTAATAATGATTGTTTGCTTATTATCCAGGTTGCTTACAGTGATGAGCTGCCAAAATCTTAACAACGGGTTCCCTCCTCACCCCACGAGGGGGTTGTTGCCCACCTCTGCCCCCTGGGACTCCTGCCCCATCCAACCCCCCCGTGTTCCTTGATGCCCCCCGCCCCGGACCCCTGCCCCATCCACGCCCCCTCCCCTGTCCCCTGACTGCCCCCAGAACCGGGCAGGAGGGTCTTGTGCGCCACCATAGTGGGTGCCCACCCCTAAGAGCCAGAGACACCTGCCAGGGGGCAAGGTGGGGAGTCCCGGAGGTGCTTACCTGGGGCAGCTTCCAGGACGCATCCGGCAGGTCCCTCTGGCTCCAAGGGGTGGGGGAGCGTAGCTGGGGGGGGAGCAGGAGGAGCAGCCACTCCCCCCACTGATCACATCAAAAGTGGCACCTTAGGCACCAACTCCCTGGGTGCTCCGGGGCTGGAGCACCCACGGGGAAAATTTGGTGGGTGCAGAGCACCCAGCAGCAGCTCCCCACCCTGCACCCAGCCCCAGCTCACCTCACCTCTGCTCCACCTCCTCCTCTGAACGCACTGCTCCGCTCTGCTTCTCCGCGCCCCCACCCCCTCCCGCCTTCCCACGAATCAGCTGTTCAGTGGGAAGCCTGGGAGGGCTGAGAAGCAGGTGGCGGCTTCTCGCTCAGGCCAAGGGTGGGGAGGTGAGCTGTGGTGGGGAGCGGTTCCCCTGCCTGCCCCCCAGGTTACTTGCTGTGGCGCAGGCGGCCCTCCTCACGCCCCCCCGCCCCAGCTCACCTCCACCTCCCTGGACCTGAGCGGGAAGTCGCGGTCTGCTTCTCAGCCTGCCCTGGCTTCCTGCGCGAACAGCTGATTCGCGGGAAGCCTGGGGGATGGAAAAACAGAGCGGGGAGGCACGTTCAGGGGAGGAGGCGGAGCGGAGGTGAGCTGCGGCCAGGGGTGGGGTGGGGAGCTGCCGGTGAGTGCTCTGCACCCACCAAATTTTCCCCTTGGGTGCTCCAGCCCTGGAGCACCCATGGAGTTGGCGCCTAAGGTGCCACTTCTGGCTGGTTAAATTTAAAAGCCCTTTTAGAACCGGTTGTCCCTCGTGGAACAACCGGTTCTAAAAGGGCTTCTAAATTTAACAACCGGTTCTAGTGAACCGGTGCGAACCGGCTCCAGCTCACCACTGGTTGCTTATCTGTACCACTGAGGCTTTCTTGTGGCAAGAAGATTAGAATAATAAAGACACATACAGTAATTGTCTTGTAATAATCCTTATGAGAACATCAAGAAGCATGAGAAATGAAGACAAACAAAGCCTGCAACTATCTAACCAGACACAACCTGTTTGCTATTTTCCATGAGGGCTGACACAAACAGGGCTGCACAGGGCAGATGGGATATGTAACATGGGGAGAAATTATGCAAGACTTGTGGCTTTGAAAAAGAGCAACGCAGTCTTCGTGCTGTGCCTTGGAATCGATTTGTATAGTGAGTGGCCTGGCTACTTGTAACTGACTGTTGAACACTGAGGTTGCAGTATATGAACTGTGTTTGTGCCCTGAAGAAAAAATGACACACTGTTGACAGCTGAATAAACCAATCATTTATTTCCACACTCCTTCCACCAGTACTTCTGGTGCTGGGGGAGAATTTCTGTATTTCTGACAACACAACTAGGAATCCATCTTGGCTGCCTTTCTTCCCTCTCCTTAGGTATAGTTTCCTGCCCTTTCTACTGAAACTGAGGAACCATGTGACATGTGATCTGCCCAGTAACAGCAGGGCATATAAGGGTCAGCACGTCAGAGGGAAGGTGCTGCCCATCTGAGTGGCAGAGTGCTGGATCAGTTCTACTCAGGTGTGTAAGCCAGAGCACAGCACCTTAGGGTTGTGGGAGGGTTTAACACACTTGCCAGCAAGGGTGAACTGCTAGCTGCCACCCTCTCATCTGGATTTTACTTGCACACATGACGATGCAGGGGAGGAGGAAGAAGAATCACCAGCATCAAGCAGAGTTACCGCCTACTTGTAGCCCGAGGTCCACTCCTCACCCTCCTGAGTCACCTGGTCAGTTCCAGACCCGATCTGCATTGTGAGATAGGAGGCTCCAGACACAAGCTGCAAGAAATAGTAGAGACCTTTTAAGTCCTCCATACCCCTTACCTGGGACCCATCTTGGGAAGGGAATAAACACTTTTTGGTCACAGTCAGTATATAGTGTCAACTTTACCTGTTTACCTTGTTTACGTGTGTTGGGAGTCCTTTATAGCATACCCCGTTTGCTTACCTTGTTCCTAATAAACATACCTGAGTTTTACTCCTATACTTCCTTGTTGGTTTTTATTTTGGGTGATCTTAAAACACGATGATAGATGTGGGTAGGGAGACGAATCTCTTGGCTGGTCTCCGGCCATCCTAAAACAAGTCAACCCTGGGATGAGCTAGTCTCTAGAGAAAGATATAGACAATAATTCTTAAGATTAAAAATCAAAACTAGTTACCCATACTGGAAAAGCAGTAAGACCTGAAAAGGTGTATTGTGTATTGTGCTTAATAAACACAGGTTGAGCAGCTAGCAATCGAGGCTGCATAATGCATTTCAGTCCTGAACATAATACCTGAAGGTGCCAAGTGCTTCCAAGAGGGGCTCGGCACCCTCAACTCCCCTTAGCATTAATGCAGATCCTCAAAGGTATTTAGGCTAGTAACTTCCATTGATTTCAATGGAAACCAGGAACCTTGAGTATCTGGGCCTCAGCAACTTGCAGGATCAACCTCTTAATGCTGTAATGATATTATTAGGCCATGAAAACATCTCTTGTCATGTCTTAATGCTGGAGTGATAAGTGACTATTCAAATAATGACAGGTTTCAGAGTAGCAGCCGTGTCAGTCTGTATTCGCAAAAAGAAAAGGAGTACTTGTGGCACCTTAGAGACTAACAAATTTATTTGAGCGTAAGCTTTCGTGAGCTTTTCATCGTGCATCTGATGAAATGAGCTGTAGCTCACGAAAGCTTATGCTCAAATAAATTTGTTAGTCTCTAAGGTGCCACAAGTACTCCTTTTCTTTATTCAAATAATGTATTGACATTTTGGAAATCAAGAATAATGTGGCTGGAATTATTAGAATTATGGTGGTATGACGGTAGGGAAAGTTAGCAAGTTTGATAACTCTAGCTGGCTGCATAATAATTAAAGGAACCTGAAGAAGTTTTGGGTTTCACACACACAGCCTCTGGACCTTTTCCAAAAGATTCAAGGATTCCACAAAACAACATACAATTATCTTCTAAAAACCAATCTTGTTGAGGTTTTTTTAGGGCTGTCGAGCGATTAAAAAAATTAATCGTGATTAATCTTGCGATTAATCGCACTGTTAAACATTAATAGTATACCATTTATTTAAATATTTTTGGATATTTTCTACATTTTCAGATATATTAATTTCAATTACAACACAGAATACGAAGTGTACAGTGCTCACTTTATATTTATTTTTATTACAAATATTCGAACTGTAAAAAAACCAAAAGAAAAAGTATTTTTCAATTCACCTAATACAAGTACTGTAGTGCAATCGCTTTATCATGAAAGTTGAACTTACAAATGTAGAATTATGCACAAAAAAACTGCATTCAAAAATAAAACAATGTAAAATTTTAGAGGCTGCAAGTCTACTGAGTTCTGATTCTTATTCAGCCAATTGGTCAGACAAACAAGTTTGTTTACATTTGCAGGAGATAATGCTGCCCGTTTCTTGTTTACAATGCCACCTGAAAGTGTGAACAGGCATTCGCATGGCACTGTTGTAGCCCGAATCGCAAGATATTTACATGCCAGATTCACTAAAGATTCATATGTCTCTTGATGCTTCAAATACCATTCCAGGGGACATGGGTCCATGCTGATGATGGGTTCTGCTCAATAACAATCCAAAGCAGTACAGATGGATGCATTTTCATTTTCATTATCTGAGTCAGATGCCACCAGCAGAAGGTTATTTTTCTTTTTTGGTGGTTTAGGTTCTGTAGTTTCAGCATCAGAGTGTTTCTCCTTTAAGACTTCTGTTTAGCATATCTGGCATGAAAATACCTTGCAATGTTGGCTACAAAAGTGCCAAGCAAATGCCTGTTCTCACTTTCTGGTGACATTGTAAATAAGAAGAGGGCAGCATTATCTCCTGTAAATGTAAACAAACTTGTTTGTCTCTTAAGTGATTGGCTGAAAAAGAAGTAGGACTGAGTGGATTTGTAGGCTCTGAAGTTTTACATTGTTTTGTTTTTGAGTGCAGCTATGTAACCAAAAAAATCTACATTTGTAAGTTGCATTTTCATGATAGAGATTGCACTACAGTACTTGTATGAGGTGAATTGAAATATAGTTTCTTTTGTTTATCATTTTTAATAAAAATATACTTTGATTTCAATTACAACACAGAATACAATATATATGAACATGTAGAAAAACATCCAAAATATTTTATAAATTTCAATTGGCATTCTATTGTTTAACAGTGTGATTAAAACCACAATTAATTTTTCTAATTGCGATTAATTTTTTTGAGTTAATCACATGAATTAACTGCAATTAAACAACAGCCCTAGGGTTTTTTTAAAATAAAGATAAGAAAAAAAATTCCCTCTTTCTCACTTCTGCATGAAAAGTGACCTGCTAATTGGGACATAGACGAGAGAGAGAAAGAGAGAGTGTGTGTGTGTGTGTACACAGGAAAAACTAGCTGGACTAAGGGGTGCCATCTGAAAAATGATGAATGGACAGAGGGGAAAATAAGAGACACCAGTCCCATAAAATACTGGGGAATGAAATTTGTGGGTGGGGGATAATTGATGGATTCTAGGAATGTAGTGATTGCTGGGCTCAGAAGAGGAAGGGAGGGTGAGAAAAGCAGTGGGCACTGCCAGAGGGCAGTGTCCTGAAGAGGACACTGTCGAGTGGGGGAGCAATGTGGGTCCCAAACTGCAGAGTAGAGCAGACAACGGGCAAGACACCACTTGCAGAGGGTGCTCAGAGTTGGACTGAGCTAATTCCCGGAGCACCATCAGGAGGCGCTGCGGTGGTGAGTCTGCAACCGTTACACATCCAAGTTGGGCACATGGCTTTAGAATGCAAATAAATATAGGTTCCTGCAGCGGGGTGGTCACCCGCTCCCGGCCCAAAGTGGTTAAAAGCCAGCCCCTGGAGAGGGCCAGGGCTGGGTGCCTTAGGCTGGGCTGATTGGGAGGCAGCCTCAGCTGTGGCCATGCCCCAAACAGACTCAGCTGACCCTATAAAGGGGCTGCTGGGCCGAAGCTCAAAAGACTCTCTCTAGCTTCTGAGAGGGAGGTACTTGGCTGCAGGGACCTAAGTAGAGTACCTAGATTGGAGCAGGGCTGGGGAAGGGCCAGCCAGGAAAGCCCCAGGCTGCGGCCTAGTTCTAGGCCCAACAGGTACTGGGGTTGCAGGGGACAGCCCAAGGATAGGCAGAGGCAGCAGGTCCAAACCCAACCTTGCCTGTGATGAGTGGCTTATACTGCAGTCTGCCCCAGGGCGTCTGTCTGGATGTATGCTGGTGAAAGTGCAGGCTGGAGGGCTTTGTAGCTTCTCACAGCAGCACAGTGTGAGAGGGAGCCCACGCTGGCGAGTCAGAGGGCTCAGGGGTACCTCTGTTCCAAATAGCATCTCGGCATCCAAGTAGAACCTGACCCAACATGTAAAAGAGTAGTTAGTTCATAAGCCTCCTTGAAGAGTTTGTGTTGTACAAATCTATGATTTAAAGAAGGAGGTGGAGAAGACTGAGATAATCAATTGTAGGGCTTTAGATTATACGTTTATAGCCAGGCAACCCACAGTCGCTGGTCAGGGTTGTCAGAAGTGAAGCAACTGTCTGTTCTGGAAATTAAATGCAGGTTTGAATTTAATCCCTCTAATCTGACACCACTAATTGGTTGCATCAAATTCAGTTGTTAGTGAATGGATGATAGCAGAACAGGTCAATACCACAATGATCAAGGAAACCAGACCACTCATACACATTCTGCTACCACCTAGCGATATAAGGGTCACAGACTGAAAAAATCTAGTGTTTGCTATTATAATTCACTGGCAAAAAAACCCCCAACAACCTTTAACACTAAGCCAAGGCTTTCTGGTGGCATCTTGTGCCCTTCCAGAACAACTATTTCAGCATAACTCAAACCTCTAAAAACCAGGAAATAAAGAGTTAAGGTAATTCAACCTTACTCTTCTGAAAACCCTTTTAGAAACCTTAATCTAGATAAACCAGTGTTTTACAAGTTTCATGGACTGGAGTAAGATGAGTCAGGCTCCCATTTTCTAGAGGTAAAATATAGTTCAACTTCATTTCTAGACGTAGTGAGAGCACTAAGACCTGTAAAGATCATTACAATTCCTATCTGAGTGCTGTGTGACAAATGTGCTTCAGGGATTGCAACTGGTCCTACACAAAGGCCTACTCTAATCTGACTGGAAGGCAATGTTTGTTCCAATCTTTATTTTATAGCAGTTTTACAAAGAAACACAATCAAGTATGTTCTAGTAATTAGGTACACTAATTTACAGTAAGTTGTGATAAATGAATTCTTCAATATAGTGTGCCACATAGGCAGGGGTTTTACCAGAGAATCCCTATCCATAGCTATGTCTAGCACAGTTTCCAATAGAAATTGCAACTAACGAACACAGAGGGGCAAATTCTGCTCTCCTTAGCACTGCTGTAAATCTGGAGTAACTGTATGGGTTTCAACCATTATTCTGAATTTGGAGTTGTGTGAATGAGACCAGAATATGGTCCATCTTATTTCATTTTTAGTTTTGATCTTCCTACTACAAAATTTTGAACAATATATTTTGACCTCAATAAAAACCTGAGGTTCATTGATTTGAAATTCTAAAGTTAGTAGAATTTCACTCATTTGTGCAATGGAAAAGTAAGAATACAAAAACTGCTGCTATGAAAAGCACTTCAGTTGTGGGGTATTATGAAACAATCTTTGAGTTGGGGGTGTAATAAAATATCATTCATGTGCATCATCCAAATCGTCGCAGTACCATAAGGTTTAAAGTAGTGTAATGGTGTTCGGTTGAAATCTATTTGTCTGAATTGTTAGCCTCTGGAATCACAGTTAAAGTTGCCTCTCTCCTCCTCCTTCTTCCCCCCCTTCCCCCCATCTGTAATGGTGTCCCTGTTTCTCCATACAGTTGTTGAGCAAATATTTTGGTTTATCATTTCTCAGATTTTCCTGTGGTGTTCCCAGTGACCTGTAGATGGTGCATTTCCCATGTTCCTGAAGTGGCTGTTTAAGTGTAGGAAAAAATTGCTCAAGCTCAGTACATAACTGTCAGACAAATGTTGCATGAAAAGATTTAAAGTTTAATCCCTTATGTACTTAAATGGCTCTTCCCAGGTACTTAATTCTTTATTCAGGGC